CATAACTTATTTTCAACATTATTCTACTCCCTACTTTAGCTCTAACTCATTTGGGAACCCCAGGAGTTTACAGTGAAACATAAAAGTGAACATTATTTTTAGATAAGCTAAAGAGGTCTTTGTGCATTTATGGATTTGGAAAGGTGTATGACAGTGGATAGGGGGCAATGTGGGCAGATGTTGCAAGTTATTGTGTAAGAGTAGGTTTACTTGCAAAGCAGTGAAGAGTTTTTACGAGGATAGTGAGGCATCACTTAGAGTATGTTAAAAAGAGGAAATATTTTTCGCCCAGTAAAAAGTAAGGCCTTAGACAAGGATGTGTGATGTCTCCGTGGTTGTTTAATATATTTATAGATGGGGTTTGTAAGAGAAGTAAATGCAGGGTCTTGGCAAGAGGCTGGAGTTAAAAGATAAAGAATCCACACAGGGTGGGAGATTAGTCCAACAGACTGGCTCTTTGCTGATGACACTGTGCTCTTGGGAGATTCCTGAAGAGAAGCTGCAGAGATTGTGTGGATGAATTTGGTAGGGTGTGGCAAAAGAAGAAAATTAAATGTGAATACAGGAAAAAGAGTAAGGTGTATGAGGATAAACAAAAAGATTATGGTTATGAAAGATTGAATATCAGATTGGAGGAGAAGAGAGGAGGAGGTGAACTATTCAGATATTTGGGAGTGGAACGTTCCAGCGATGGGTCTATGAAGATGAGGTGGTGAATCATAGAATTGAGAGGGAAAAAGAGTGAGTGGTGCGCACTAAGGAGTCGGTGTGAGTCAAAGAACTTTGTCCTTGGGAGGCAAAGAGGGAATGTAGTGAAGTAATATTTTTTACCACGCTCTTATATGGGTGTGAAGCCATGGGTTGATGAATGTTGCAGCGAGAGAGGCTGAGGCAGTGGAGAGTCCATGTCTGAGGCCAATGTGTGGGTGAATATAATGCAGAGAATTCGTAGTTTTGGAAGTTAGGAAGGAGGTGCGGGATTACCAAAACTGTTTGTCCTAATGGCTGAGGACGGGGTGTTGAGTGGTTTCGACATGTAAGAGAATGGAGCGAACAGAATAACTTCAAGAGTGTATCAGTCTGTTTTGAAGAAGGCGGGACTAGGTCGCCTAGGAGTGTGTTGTTGTGGACTATATGAAGATGGGGTGGAGGTTGATGGAGGGGTAAAGGAGTTTGTGTGCGAGGTCTTGGGACTTCCAGCAGGCATGCGTGAGCGTGTTTGATAGGATTGAATGGAGACAAAAATGATTTTTAATACTTGAAACGTGCTGTTGGATGTGAGCAAAGTAACATTTATTAAGGGGTTCAGGATAACCGGCCGGCCGGACTTGAGTCCTGGAGAATGGAAGTACAGTGCCTCACTCTGAAGGAGGTGTTAATGTTGCAGTTTTAAAAACTGTAGTGTAAAGCACCCTTCTGGCAAGACAGTGATGGAGTGAATGATGGTGAAAGTTTTTCTTTTTCGGAGCCACCTGGTCTTGGTGGGAATCGGCCAGTGTATAATAAAAAAAAATAAATATTAAACTCTCCTACCCCCCTTCAGCTTGTTTCACTTAAAGACCAGACATACACTCTTCTCATTCATAACATCCACAATCATCTCTTTCTTATCATTTGCACACCATCCATGCACATTTCAAAAGCCTACTTTTGACACGGTTTTCTTCTTTTTCTTTTTAGTTAAGCAATACGGGAAACGTGGGTTACTAGCCATTGTGATCCCGGCCTTTTAGTTGACTTTTACAACACGCATGGCTTATGGAGGAATAGATTCTTATTCACTTCCCCATGGATATTGAGAAATGAAAATTAAGAACAAGGAACTATTAAGATACAATCAAAGAAACTCAATGATTGTGTATACATAAACGTGTATGTGACCAAAGTGAAGTAGAAGTACAAGACGTACCTGAAATCTTGCCTGATTATGAGACAGAAAAATGACATCAGCATCCTCCATCTATGTAAAACAAATACAATGGAACCTCAAAATCGAAACTGCTCCCAACACAAACCAATTATGTAAGGAAGTATTTTTGTAAGTGCTTTTATAAGTGTATATTTTGAGAGGTCTGAAATGGTGACTAACCTGAATTTACATGATTCCTCATTGGAAAAAATTCATTCGGTAAAGGCACTCGAACGCATCTGGACCAAAGAAAGTCGAATATTTGATGTTCTCACTGTACAGGCTTCCTTTTTACATTCACTTGGTAGGATGGAGTACCTCCCTGAATGGGTTTGCCTGTCTACCAACCTACTACTCTCTACAAATGAACATTTTTTTTTTTTTTTCAACAAGTCCTAACACCCAAATATCTGAAACCATTCACATCTTCCATACTCCTCCGCCCTAATTTGAATCCAATTTTTCTTTATCTAATCATTTGGATACTCTCATCACCTACCATTTCTAGTTTTCTTTCAGCTTTCTACCTTTACAACACATTCCCAAATTCATCCGACTACCATTGCAATTTTTCTTTGAATCTCCCATAAGCCCAGTATCATCAGCAAAAAGTAACTGTGTCACTTCCCATTTTGTATTTAATTCCCCATAGATTTAAACCCACGCCCTCTCCCAAACACCCTAGCATTTACTTCTTTTACAACCCCATCTATATATATATTAACCAACCATGGTGGCATTACACATCCCTGTCTAAGAACCTACCTTTAACGGGAATTAGTCTCCCTCTCTTCTATACCCCCGAACCTGAGCTTCACAAAAACAGACCAAAGAAAAAATATTAATGCAAATATATTTGGAGGTTAGCATCAGCTGAGCTCAAGAACATTCAATTATGGTAAACATGGGTTTATGAAAAGATGAGGTTTAACAATAAAATTGATGAAGGAAAAAATGGCGAGCGGTGCATTGAGATACTTGTGGAGAGAAAAAACGTTATCCATGGAGGCGAAGAAGGAATGTATGAAGAGTATTAGTGTAACCACACTCTATATGTGTGATGCATGGACAGTAAATGGGAAGTGAGGATGAGGCTGGAGCAGGGAGATTCATGTCTAAGGGCAATGTGTTGTGTAAATAATTATCAGAGAATTTAAACTGTTGAAATTAGGAGGATGTGTGATTTGCTAAAGTATTAGTCAGAGGGCTGAAGAGGGATGTTGAGGCATTTTTTGGTCATTTAGAGAGAAATGAAAAAAGTAGAATGACTTAGAGAGGTGTATAAATCTGTAGGGGATGGAAGGCGGGTAGGGGTCATATCCTCGAAAAGGTTGGAGGGAGGGGGTTAAAGGAGGTTTTGTGGACAAGGGGTTTGGACTTCCAGCAAGCATGGTGATCATTTAGATAAGAATGAATGGAGACAAATGGTTTTTGAGACCTAACGATCTGTTGAAGTGTGACAGGGTAATATTTTGGTGTAGGGATTCCAGAAACCGATTAGAGCCGGACTTGAGTCCTGGAAACGGTAAGAGCAATGCTGCACTTAATCCATGACTGTTGCAACCCCCAATCCAGAGGTGTTCTCCATGTGTTGCAAAATTTTAAAAAAAAAGTTAATTATTTTTCTTAGGAAATGATAGAGATCTTTTCCCGAATTGTAAATGACACCAAGAAAAACGAAATCTGATGGAAAACTGATTGAATTACGCTCTTGCGAAGTAGTGACCTCGGCGATATTTACAAGTCGGCAATTTCACCGACTATTGGAGCCCTAATTTCGCAATTCCCATTGTTCCAATCGACCAACTCATAGCTATTTCTTTAGAACATCAATTTTTTCAATCGATGTGAGTACAAGAAACTGCCCATTTAACCGATTTCAACTATCCAATAACATGGTCAGAAATTAGCATTTGAGCCATTTCAACGAAAATTAAAAATAATGACATTTCAAATATTAAGGTCCAAATGACAATGCAGACACATCCTCGCTCTACAAAATAATATTTTCTTTGTTCATTCAGTCCACATCTCCAGGCCCCTCTGATATTAACTCTAGCTTCTATTTTGAATTTTTATTCAAACAAAAAATAGTAAGATTTACTGTTATGCAGACTAGCTGCAATACTGGTAATAATTGTGATAAATAATGTCAACGTCCATTCATGAACTGCATATTAGAATGGCTAGTTTGTATATTATGGACAATGACATCAATTTGTTTACTGTTTGAACATCGGCAAAATCAAACATTTCCTCTACTTTGAGGCTCCATTTCAGGTTCTTTTTATAGTAAAACCATCAAAATCCCTCTATTTCTATATGTTTTTCATTCTATCCAATGAGACCAAGAAAACGAGAATACAACCAAAAATCCTATACGAAATAGACCACAAAAGTCGCATTTAATTAAAAAAACGGTCGTTTTGTTTTTTTTTTTCTCATTATGCACTTGCGTGCTCCAGATTTTTTATATATGGTGTCACACTAGACCACAGCAGACCCATTTCTCTTCACATTTGGGCCTACCAGCTTTCCTCCTGCTTGATTTGAAGCTGCTAGAATTTATGAGATATATACGTCAAACATCGTAACCTCGAAAGACTATATATACAACCGAAAACAGTCAAAGGGTTTAAAAGGAGTGGGTTTTGGATTTTGCATTCGAGGGACATCTGGAACTGTCGTATCAGAGCGCCTAACTGAGATCGAAGACTACAGTAGATGATGATGTCTTCGTGGGGGAAAAATGGGGGAAGTGATGGTGGGAAAGTGCTTGAATGATGAAAGTTTTTTTCTTTCTTCGTGGGTCACCCTGCCCCAGTGGGAAATGGCCAACAAGTTAAAAAAAAAAAAGTTACATTTCTTGCTATGGATATAGATATATGCAAGCTTTATGTGAATATGGCTTGATATGGCATAAGTTATATGACCCTAAAAATTAATACATAACACAGATAACTTGTTATGGCTGATAAATAAGACATGTGAAACACCTGGGTATCTCTATCGAGAGAGTTTTGCCTGCTGAACATGCTTGTATCATCTAATATAGAGCTTGAAAAATGGAGCTTTTATACTGGAGCGAAGGATGAGAAATGATGTGCAGCAGTTGAAGATGTGTCCATGGTTGGCAGGCCCACATTTGAACCTAGTGAAAGTAGATCAGCCCATAGGGTGGGCCAACATTGGAGTTGAAGACATGGTCCACAGGGTTTGCTGTGGCCCACTGGAGAAAATAGGGTCGGACTCACTCCTCATGCCTTTGTATTAGACCTGACATGCTTTCTGCTAAGTAAAACATCTCTCAAACAAAGAATAGCTAAGTGTTCACATGTGTTTTTTCATAATCTTGTCAGTTTTATATCTAAGCTCTAATTAAGTGTCTGGCATAGCAGACATGGAATCTTGGTAGCATAAATATCTTTTATAGCTCTCATTGCTAAAAACTCTGGCCATCATATAGTCTTGACTCACATTGTTATTAGATGTCATCCTCCATTGACCTTATCATTCCCACTACTGCATCTCGTAACTTCTCTACGTGGATCCAGATAAAAGTCCCCGTCCTCAAGACTCGTAAAATACGTTCACAAAGCTGCCATGCAGGTAAACTTCTCTCATGAAGATACCCAGGCATAGCATTGTTTATTCATCAATCTATCACTAATTATACCTTTGGCCAAATGAAATTGTTACTATTGCTCCTCAAGTGAGGCTCCACTACACAACTTTGTTTAAAATAACTATTCACACGTCTAGAATTATCAGTCCTTTATTTTCAATAACACACTGGCCTGTCTCCCATTGAGGTAAGGTGACCCTAAATTGAAGCAACACTAACCATCACTCGCTCCATCACTGACCTGCAAGAGGCATGCCGACAATACGGCTCAGATGCCCCTCCAAACTGTATATAACGACCCCTTTTTCATAGTTTTCAGGCACTGTCCACATCCCCTGAAATGTGTAATTATAGCATAAATTAGGATTAATTTATGGTTCGAGTTACTATCCTTCTGGTTAATAATTGGATAAAATTATAATTGTTTTCTATAAAAATTTTGAGTATTTTTGATGTGAATGCACCAATATTTTCTTCAAACTTTTTTATACAGGGTGCTTATATAAATTAGGCATTCATAAGCCGATAGATTTATGAAAAGATTCGTTAAGGATGAAAAAATGTTGCCTAAATGTCTTGGTCTTGCTTGGAGAGTAGTTGTGGGGAACTGCTTGCAGCCTGGCGAGGCAATTATGAAAAATCTGTGTGAGTTTAATACCAAATTTTTGCATTGGCTAATACTTTTGTATGATTGTTTATATATAAATTTAAGATTACTGAGTTTATACGTTTTGTACATTTATGAGAGAATGTAATGGGATTTTTTCACAGGCATTAATTCAGTCCCGGCCTATTGTAGTGTTTAACTAATAAAATGTTACTTTAATTAAACCATTTTTAATATTATATAACAGAGTGTAAAAACACTACTCTTTTAAATTAGTATGTAGACAGGAGAAGGGTACTAGACCCTTTGCACCCGGTATTTTAGTTTGCTTACGGAGAAGAATTCTGTTCCACTATCCCCGTGGAGAAGAGCAGAAATAAACAAAAACAAGACTCTAGAAAGAAAAAAGAAGAAATCCCAGAGGGGTGTACTCCCCTAGTTGGTGGTTTGCAGGAGTTCAAGTCGCAGCTCCAGCCTGCCTCTTCACTGTTTGCTACTAGGTTACTCTTCCTTGCTCCATGGAGCTTTATCGTGTCTCTCTTTAAAGCTAGTATGGAACTACCTCCACTAAATCACTTCCCAGACTATTCCAGTTCCTACAAACTCTGTGACTGAAGAAATACTCCTAACAACCCTGTGATTCATCTGATAGTCTTTCAGTTTTCCATGTGACTCCTTGTTCTCTGTCCCATCTCTGGAACAGTCCTGTCCTCATCACCTTGTCAATTCCTCTCAGTATTTTTATGTCATTTTCATATCCCCCCATCTTTCTTGTCCTCAGGTGTTCATCAGGTGATTCCCTTAACCTCGTCCATGTGTAGGACATGTCCTTAGCCTGGGACTAGTCGTTGTGCAGATCTTTGCCCTTTCTCTTATTTCCATTCATGTTGGCTAGGTGTGGGTTCCAGACTGGTGTTGTACTTACTCCACTTATAGGCCCTTACATACAACGTGTACAAGGTCCTTACGATTTCTTATTGATATGTTGGAATGCTATTTTTAGGTTTTGGCTAGGCACCCATATGCTGCAGCAATTATTTGGTTAATGTGCACCTCAGGAGATGTGCCCAGTGTATACTCACCCAAGTCCCTTTTCCTTGTGGGAGGTTTGTAGTCACCGGTCCCTAGACTAGTACTCTGTCTGGGGTCCTCATTGCCCTTCCCATATCTTCATGACTTTGCACTGGTGGGATTGAACTCACATTCGCAGTTTTCCAGACCAAATCCCTCAGCCTTCCCAGATCCCTTTGTAGTTTCTGCCTGGTCTTCTTCATTGAATTCTCCTACACCAACTCACATCATCCGCAAACAGAACACTTCTGAGTCCTATTTTCTTCCATTGTCTTTCAACATAAACCAGAAACACACGATCCAGGACTGACCCTATGGAACCCCCCTCGTCACCAGCGCGCATTCTGACAGGTATTCCCTGAATCATTGCATCGCCTTTTCCTGTTAACCTGCTTGGGCCTCCAGCTTATGCACTAATCTCTTGTGTGGAACTGACTCAAAAGCCTTTCTTACAGCCTAGAAAATGCAATCTACCACCCTTTTTCTTTTCTTACTGCTGTCATTCCTGTCATAGAACTCCAGTAGGTTGTGGACACGGGATTTCCCATCCTTGAAACAGTGCTGGTGCGTTGAAAAAGCTCAAACTTTTCTAAGAGCTCTATCACTCTTCTCCTGATAATCTTCTCCATGCCATATGCATACAAGCTATACATGTCATGACACTGGTCGTAGTATTAATCCTTCCGTGTGTGTCTCCTTTTTTAAAAATTGGGACTATACATTGCTGTCTTCATACCTCAGGCATTTGCCACTGTTTTGATAGATGTGTTGAATATTGTAGTTAGCTGGCATGCATAGTGCCTCTGCTCCCCTCTCATGACCCATGGTAGAGAGTTAATCCAGGCCCCATTTGCCTTGAGGTGTCTAGCTCCGCTTAGCACATCTTCACTTCTTCCTTGGCTTGTGTATTGAAGGGCTACCCCACCTCTCCGTCTTCCCAGTCCCTTCTGTCTCCCTTTGATCTCACATTTGAGGCTCCTCACATAGCTACTCAGTTGTTTTCTTGTGATCTCCCTGTCCCTTCCTTTCTCAGTCTGATCACGTGGTCCTTGACTGTTTTTTAGGTGTGTATACATGTATAGCATAGTACATGCTGTATAATGGACCAAAAAGTAGAAGTAGCAAAGGCGTACCCTGAAACCTTGCATGTTAAAGAGACAGGAAAAAGACAACCCAGCAATTCTAACCATTCAAGTAAAAACAAAGTTAAATGTGGTGATTATCTTCACATTAACATCATCAAACGGGATTAGCGAGTAATAGGATGATCTTTAATCCTTGAGGCCCGTCTCGTAGTTCTATGCTTTGAAGCCATAGTCCAAGCTGTATACTACATCATGATTCAGCTCACCAGATAAGCTGTGAGCGGTAAATTTGGGCCTACATAGAGAAAATAAATCTGTGGGGCATTATTTTTAAAATTTTTATTATCACACTGGCCGATTCCCCACCAAGGCGGGGTGGCCCGAAAAAGAAAAACTTTCACCACCATTTACTCCCATCACTGAAAAATGCAGCACCCATGCAAAAATGAGAAAAAAACTGCTGTTTCTTGGTTTAAAACAGCGACTTTGTGGTATATTTTCGTGGGTTCCATGGTTGCATTCATGTTTCTTGGGTCTCACTTGATAGAAGGGAAGATATATTACAGAAATAGAAATGATTTTGATTTTTTTAGCACTGAAAATAGCTTAAAATTGAGCTCAAAATTAGCGGAAATGTTTGTTTTTGCCCATGTTCAAGAGTTTACAGATCACATAAATGTGTCCAATACACGCCAGCCTTTGGGGTCTGATGTGCATTTCCAAATCTGAGATTATTATACAGTTTTACAATGTTGCGTAACAGTAAATCTTCTATTTTTGGGTGTGAAAAAAAATTTCCCTTTGTAAAATAAAAGATAAAAGGGGAAATTTCATCTGTAAAGCCGGGAAATGTAGCAAATAAACAGGGAAATTTTTATTTTAGGCAAGGAATGCCTGCATTATTTGTTCTTGACTATTTTGAAATTGGAATGTTTTGAACTTTGTGTAAAATTTGGGCCCAAAATTTTACCAATTTCTGACCACTTTATTGGGTATTGAAATAGTTGATTGGGCGATTCTTGTCTCAGCAGATAAAGTGGAACACATACTAACAAAATAACAAAGAATTTGGTCTAATGGAACAATGTAATTGGCCAAAAATAGGACTGAAAGTGAGCAAAATCACTGAGCATAAATATCGTTGACACAGCAAAATTTGCGGGAGCATAATTTCGTCAGTTCTTGATCAAATTTCGTACTTTTTGTTTTATATTGGCCTCAGAAAAAGATTCTCTAACATTTCACAAGTTTTTTTTTTTTTTTAAATTCTTGGACCCTGTGAGGAATTTCAGATTAGGGATCTGAACCCTCAAAGGGTTAATATACTTGGTGATCTTGCAGTAAAGATTAAAAATATTGGTTGATTATATAAGCTTTGTCAAGTACAGTGGACCCTCGACCAACAATATTAATCCGTTCCTGAGAGCTCATCGTTATTGAAATTATCGTTAGTCGAGTTAAATTTCCCCATAAGAAATAATGGAAATCAAATTTAAAACCGTTCCTGACACCCCAAAGTATTGAAAAAAAAAAATTTTTTAAACCACCTGAAATTAATTTTAATACAAATTGAAGAAGACATTACAAATTTCAATTAAATTAAAGGGAATCAAAATTTAAAATGGGGAAATTTACACAGTTTCTTTTTTCTGATGATACTGTGCTTATGGGAGATTCTAAAGAAAAATTGCAAAGGTTAGTGGATGAGTTTGGGAATGTGTGTAAAGGTAGAAAGTTGAAAGTGAACATAGAAAAAATAAGGTGATGAGCGGTGTCCAATGATTTAGATAAAGGAAAAATTGGATATCAAATTGGGAGGAGAGTATGAAGAAGTGAATGTTTTCAGATACTTGGGAGTGACGTGTCGGCGGATCATTTATGGAGATAGGTTAATCATAGAATTGATGAGGGAAAAAAGTTGAGTGGTGCTTGAGGTATATGTGGAGTCAAAAAACGTTATTCTATGGAGGCAAAGAAAGGATGTATGAAAGTACTAGTAGTACCAAGCACTCTTATAATGGGTGTGAAGCTTGGGTGTAAATGCAGCAGCGTAGGAGACGGTTGTGCAGCGGAGATGTCCGTATCAGGGCAATGTTGGTGTAAAATAATATCAGAAAATTCGGAGTGTGAAATAGGAGAAGTGTGGAGTTAATAAAAGTATTATGTCCAGGGGCAGAATAGGGTGTTGAGGTGGTTGTGTCATTTAGAGAGAATGGATCCA